ATATAAATGATAGTACTATCTACGAGGTTCCGAGAACTAATGATATAAATGATAGTACTATCTACAAGGTTCCGAGAAATAATTATATAAATGATAATACTATCTACGAGGTTCCGAGAACTAATGATATAAATGATAGTACTATCTATGAGGTTCCGAGAACTAATGAGTAGATATAAATTATAGTACTATCTACGAGGGTCCGAGAACTAATGAGTAGATATAAATTATAGTACTATCTACGAGGTTCCGAGAAATAATGAGTAGATATGAATGATAGTACTATTTATGAGGTTCCGAGAACTAATGAATAGATATAACCGCTCGTACTATCTACGAGGTTCCGAAAACTAATGAGTAGATATGAATGATAGTACTATTTATAAGGTTCCGAGAACTAATGAATAGATATAAATGATAGTACTATCTACGAGGTTCCGAGCACTAATGAGCAGATATGAATGATAGTACTATTTATGAGGTTCCGAGAACTAATGAGTAGATATAAATGATAGTACTATCTACGAGGTTCCGAGAACTAATTATATAAATGATAGTGCTATCTACGAGGTTCCGAGAACTAATGGGTATATATAAATGATAGTACTATCTACGAGGTTCCGAGAACTAATGAGTAGATATGAATGATAGTACTATTTATGAGGTTCCGAGAACTAATGAATAGATATAAATGATAGTACTATCTACGAGGTTCCGAAAACTAATGAGTAGATATGAATGATAGTACTATTTATGAGGTTCCGAGAACTAATGAATATATATAAATGATAGTACTATCTACGAGATTCCGAGAACTAATGATATAAATGATAGTACTATCTAAGAGATTCGAGAACAAATTATATAAATGATAGTACTATCTATGAGGTTCCGAGAACTAATGAGTAGATATAAATAATAGTACTATCTACGAGGTTCCGAGAACTAATGAATAGATATAAATGATAGTACTATCTACGACGTTCCGAGAACTAATGAGTAGATATAAATGATAATTCTATCTATGAGGTTCCGAGAACTAATGAGTAGATATCAATTATAGTACTATCTACGAGGTTCCGTGAGATAATGAGTAGATATAAATGATAGTACTATTTATGAGGTTCCGAGAACTAATGAGTAGATATAAATGATAGTACTATCTACGAGATTCCGAGAACTAATGATATAAATGATAGTACTATCTACGAGGTTCCAAGAACTAGTGAGTAGATATAAATGATAGTACTATCTACGAGATTCCGAGAACTAATTATATAAATGATGGTACTATCTACGAGGTTCCGAGAACTAATTATATAAATGATAGTACTATCTACGAGGTTCCGAGAACTAATGAGTAGATATAAATGATAGTACTATCTACGAGGTTCCGAGAACTAATGAGTAGATATAAATGATAGTACTATCTACGAGGTTCCGAGAACTAATGAGTAGATATAAATGATAGTACTATCTACGAGGTTCCGAGAACTAATGAGTAGATATAAATGATAGTACTATCTACGAGGTTCCGAGAACTAATGAGTAGATATAAATGATAGTACTATCTACGAGGTTCCGAGAACTAATGAGTAGATATAAATGATAGTACTATCTACGAGGTTCCGAGAACTAATGAGTAGATATAAATGATAGTACTATCTACGAGGTTCCGAGAACTAATGAGTAGATATAAATGATAGTACTATCTACGAGGTTCCGAGAACTAATGAGTAGATATAAATGATAGTACTATCTACGAGGTTCCGAGAACTAATGAGTAGATATAAATGATAGTACTATCTACGAGGTTCCGAGAACTAATGAGTAGATATAAATGATAGTACTATCTACGAGGTTCCGAGAACTAATGAGTAGATATAAATGATAGTACTATCTACGAGGTTCCGAGAACTAATGAGTAGATATAAATGATAGTACTATCTACGAGGTTCCGAGAACTAATGAGTAGATATAAATGATAGTACTATCTACGAGGTTCCGAGAACTAATGAGTAGATATAAATGATAGTACTATCTACGAGGTTCCGAGAACTAATGAGTAGATATAAATGATAGTACTATCTACGAGGTTCCGAGAACTAATGAGTAGATATAAATGATAGTACTATCTACGAGGTTCCGAGAACTAATGAGTAGATATAAATGATAGTACTATCTACGAGGTTCCGAGAACTAATGAGTAGATATAAATGATAGTACTATCTACGAGGTTCCGAGAACTAATGAGTAGATATAAATGATAGTACTATCTACGAGGTTCCGAGAACTAATGAGTAGATATAAATGATAGTACTATCTACGAGGTTCCGAGAACTAATGAGTAGATATAAATGATAGTACTATCTACGAGGTTCCGAGAACTAATGAGTAGATATAAATGATAGTACTATCTACGAGGTTCCGAGAACTAATGAGTAGATATAAATGATAGTACTATCTACGAGGTTCCGAGAACTAATGAGTAGATATAAATGATAGTACTATCTACGAGGTTCCGAGAACTAATGAGTAGATATAAATGATAGTACTATCTACGAGGTTCCGAGAACTAATGAGTAGATATAAATGATAGTACTATCTACGAGGTTCCGAGAACTAATGATATAAATGATAGTACTATCTACGAGGTTCCGAGAACTAATGATATAAATGATAGTACTATCTACGAGGTTCCGAGAACTAATGAGTAGATATAAATTATAGTACTATCGACAAGGTTCCGATTACTAATGATATAAATGATAGTACTATCTACGAGGTTCCGAGAACTAATGAGTATATATAAATGATAGTACTATCTACGAGGTTCTTACAACTAATGAGTAGATATAAATGATAGTGCTATCTACGAGGTTCCGAGAACTAATGATATAAATGATAGTACTATCTACGAGGTTCCGAGAAATAATGAGTAGATATAAATGATAGTACTATCTACGAGGTTCCAAGAACTAAAGATATAAATGATAGTACCATCTACGAGGTTCCGAGAACTAATGATATAAATGATAGTACTATTTATGAAGTTCCGAGAACTAATGAGTAGATATACATGATAGTACTATCTACGAGGTTCCGAGAACTAATGAGTAGATATAAATGAAAGTATTATCTACGAGGTTCCGAGAACTAATGAGTAGATATATATGATAGTACTATCTACGAGATTCCGAGAACTAATGAGTAGATATAATGATAGTACTATCTACAAGGTTCCGATAACTAATGATATAAATGATAGAATTATCTACGAGGTTCCGAGAACTAATTATATAAATGATAGTACTATCTACTAGGTTCCGAGAACTAATGAGTATATATAAATGATAGTACTATCTACGAGGTTCTGAGAACTAATGAGTGGATATAAATGATAGTACTATCTACTAGGTTCCGAGAACTAATGAGTAGATAAAAATGATAGTACTATCTACGAGGTTCTGAGAACTAATGAGTGGATATAAATGATAGTACTATCTACAAGGTTCCGAGAACTAATGAGTAGATATAAAAGTAGATAAACATGATAGTACTATCTATGAGGTTCCGAGAACTAATGAGTATATATAAATGATAGTACTATCTACGAGGTTCCGAGAACTAATGAGTATATATAAATGATAGTACTATTTATGAGGTTCCGAGAACTAATGAGTAGATAAACATGATAGTACTATCTACGAGGTTCCGAGAACTAATGAGTAGATATAAATGATAGTACTATCTACGAGATTCCGAGAACTAATTATATAAATGATGGTACTATCTACGAGGTTCCGAGAACTAATTATATAAATGATAGTACTATCTACGAGGTTCCGAGAACTAATGATATAAATGATAGTACTATCTACGAAGTTCCGGAAACTAATGAGTAGATATAAATGATAGTACTATCTACGAGGTTCCGAGAACTAATGAGTATATATAAATGATAGTACTATGTACGAGGTTCCGAGAACTAATGAGTAGATAAACATGATAGTACTATCTACGAGGTTCCGAGAACTAATGAGTACATATACATGCTAGTACTATATACGAGGTTCTGAGAACTAATGAGTAGATATAAATGATAGTACTATCTACGAGGTTCTGAGAACTAATGAGTAGATATAAATGATAGTACTATATACGAGGTTCCGAGAACTAAGGGGTAGATATAAATGATAGTACTATCTACGAGATTCCGAGAACTAATTATATAAATGATAGTACTATCTACGAGGTTCCAAGAACTAGTTAGTAGATATAAATGATAGTACTATCTACGAGATTCCGAGAACTAATGATATAAATGATAGTACTATCTACGAGGTTCTGAGAACTAATGAGTAGATATAAATAATAGTACTATCTACGAGGTTCTGAGAACTAATGAGTAGATATATATGATAGTACTATCTACGAGGATCCGAGAACTAATAAGTACATATACATGCTAGTACTCTAATGAGTATATATAAATGATAGTACTATCTACGAGGTTCTGAGAACTAATGAGTAGATATATATGATAGTACTA